TTTCACGAGGTGAATAAAGGCCCGGGGTCCTACATAGAAAGATGTCCCTTAGAGCACCTTCTCCAACTTTCCTCCTGAACATCATCCTCTACCTCTCCATCCATCCCCATCCCGCCCTCAGCGGGAACCGGGCGCTAAGAAGCCACTCAGAGTCATCGTCCGGCTGGAAAAGCTCAACGAATCGCCCGCAACGAGTTTGTTCCCCTTTCTGTTGCTGCCGGCGGTTCTTGGGACAACCCGCCCGTGTTGGGGTCACTCGGCAGCGCCCCATTCCCCCAGACCCCCATTGTTCTGGCTTCGATGGGCGAACGGCGCGTCCTGCCTGGGGTCAGCTCCCTGGCTCTCTGAGGCAGAGTTACCTCCAGTCCCTCCTGCTGAAACCTCGATTCGATTATTAATTCTTTTTTTTTTTTTTTTTTTTTCCTATTTAAAGTCCGAAATCCGGTTTAAAACGAAGCACCTCCAGAAATTTGCTTCGCTAAAGCAACCTGTGCCTGCCCTCCAGCGAGGAGCGTCCCGGGGGCTGGGGAGAAGGGACTGGGGAGAAAATGAGTTCTCGTTGAGAAAGGGATGCTCCAGCCCAGGACTCCGAGCTGTAATTTTTGTCTTAAGGTCGTGCTCTTTTACTAGGTTTATATGCCAATGAGGCGTTCCCGCTTTACCAAATTTATACAAATCTCTCCTTAATTGGTAATCACAGATGCTGTAATTTAAGACCCCCAGCTACAGAGCTTTCATATTAGCTGCTGATCTATTACTGTAAATCGCCTGAAATAATCAACTCCAGGGAGTGGGGTAGAGAGAGATCCTCGCTCTAAAATATCATCGCTCGCACATCATTTTCACTCGAGAAATGATTTATCTTGGACAGCGCTATAAACAACACAACTCTCTCACAAACACACACACAATGGCAGCCGCACTGCTGCTGACATGTTTATTGTAATAAATCAAGAAAGGGGGAAGAGAGAGGGGAAAAAAAAAAAAAAAAAGGTTGCGAGGAGAGAGAGAGAGAGAGAGGGAGAGGAATATTCCTAAAAATATCAATGAAATGCCTCGATGGGTATAAACACACATACCACCATGTGAAGAGAAATGGGAGGAAATGAAGACGGCTATTTGTCACATTTTACGACAATAACATTAATAACAAACAATAAATTTACATGGACATATAGACACGCTAGGAATTGGGAAGCCCCTGCTACTTACAATAATCCAGCCCTCGGCGTGGCTTCGTGGTTCCTGAGAATTGTTTTATTGCGGGCTCCTCTCCCTCTCTCCTCCTCTCCCCCTCTTTCTCTCTCTCCCTCTCGCTCTTTCTCTCCTTTTTTTTTTCCCCCCCTCAGCTATAGGCTTGTTTTTTAAAGGACAGTTGAATTTCACGTCAGACACAAGGAGACCATGTCTGCGATTTTCCTGACGAATACATATCTATTCTGCAACCTCTGCATTAATTATTTAATGAATCACGTGATGGGGAAGGGGGAAGGGGGTCTCTCGGTTTCATACTCAAAGGACCACTGTGACCTTCCACCGGAACAGGGTTTTTTTAAAGAAGTTTCGAACTGAACGAAGCTTTTCTCGACGGACAGAGACCTCCCTCCCAGGGCCGTGCCAGTCGGGCAGGGTGAGGGGCACCCACTGCTCTGTTGAAGAGCACGATTTTCGGTTTATTTCCCCACCCCGCGTGGAGTTAAGAGCCCTTAAACCCTTCTCTAAACCTCTCCTGGAAGTTGGCTTTGTTGGACCTGGGTTCAGCAAAGCCTCATCGCGATTTCTCCTTATTTTAATTTTTTTTTTTTTCTCTCCACGATCTTGTACTGAAAGGCACAACAATCACAGGGTCTAAACCAGCTAAAAATATTCACACCCCCGGGTTTAGAAAGCTCAGCCTTCGCTTCACTTCCAGGCCTTTTCTCCCCGCCGCTGTTATTGTTCGGCCAGACTATTGCATTAGGGGAAAAAAAAAAAATAAAAAATCAAATTTTGACTGCGAGGAAAAGCTGCCAAGTACAAGGAGGAGGGGATAAAAAAAAAAGAAGAGGACAACAAAGGGAACCGCTGGGAAAGGCCGCGGAGCAGACGCGGAGCAGGGAACCGGGCGCGCTGCCCTGGCACGGCCCTGGCCTGGCACAGTCCTGGTCTGGCACGACCCTGCCCTGGCACGGCTCTGCCCTGGCACGGCTCTGCCCGCTCCCCACGCCCACGGGGGGAAAGTGCCACCCGAGAAAAGAGCCTGAAACCATCGGGATGGTTGCCCAGAGCCCACGGGTGGCCCAGAGCCCACGGGAGACACGGGCAGCCCAGCGAGGAGCATCTCCCACCTCTTCCCAGCTCCCCTCGCCCCCCCCGGCAGCAGAGATCCCTCCCTGGGGGGGTAAAGCCTGGAGGGAGCTTATGTTAAACACAAAAAATGAATTTAAAAAGCCTAAAAATGTGTGTGGGGGGGTGTTTCCCTCCTAAAGTCGAAACCAAGGGGCTGGACGAGGTGGGCTGGGCCCCCCCCCGGGCCAGGAAGGAGCGAGCGAGGGAAGCGCCTCGTTCTCCAAAGCCCTCGATTATTTCTGAATCGATTTTATCGAGTGCCGGGAGTCGTCGGAAGAAAGACGTTTGGTCAAGGTGTGGGAGGAAGCGGTGGGGGGAAAAAAAACGCGATTAAAAGGAGTTCCCGTCGCTGGCGGGGGGAATTTCCACGAGGGAGGAAAGTTCGGGGAGGATGGGGGGGGGTTATGAGGACTTCAGGTCAATTCACTTTATAAAACAACTTCTTTTTTTTTTTCCCCTTTTTTTTTTTTTTCTACCATAAAAAGTGCATCCCTGTGAACGGAACCCGGTAAATAAATTTAAAAAAAGGAGAGGGGGGAAAAAAAGGGACAAGAGAAAAAAAAATAAAAATGGAACAGAGCCATCCCAAGGCAGCAAACGGAGCAGATACTCCCCCCCCCCTCCACCTCCGCTGGCATTTTTGGGTTTGTTTCATGCAAAAGAAGCACCATTTCGGGTTTGGCGATTTTTTTTTTTAAAGCCCCCGGTTCAAAGGGTCGGAAACGCGGCCATAAACAGCGGCGTCACCCTCCGAGGTGCCGTGATCAAAGCCGTTCTCTTTCTGAAGATAAAATGAGCGTTTATATAGTGAGAAAGCGAGATTGATTTACAGATTTAAACACGCCGTTCTTATTGCGGATCATAAATCTGTCACCGGGGCTGAGAAACTCCCAAGCCGCTCCCAGAGCTGAGCAGCCTTTAAAGAGAGTCGGTGCCACACCGGGCCAGCGCGAATCCCACCCCCCCGCTTCTCCCAAGACCCCCCTTCCCAGGCAGAACCCCTCTTATATCCATGGATTCACATATATAAATATATATATATTTATTTTCCCTTCCTCTCTACTCCTGCTCTCCAACACCTCCAACCCAGCAGGTTTTTCTCACCTAAAAATTCCGTTTAAAAAATCAAATTTGGGGATGTGGAGGTAACAAAGGGCACCGGGTTTGAGGGGTTTGGGATGAGGGGTCGCGGCTCGGGGGGGGGGGGGGGGGGGGGGGGGGGGGCCCGGGGTTTCCCCGCCCCCGGGGGGCCGGGGGGGGGGGGGTTTCCCCCCCCCCCCCCCCCAAATTATTTTTGGGAAGGCGAGAGCAGCCCGGCCTCTCTGCGAAGCCAAACCCCGCGCCCACCGCCCTCTCTCCTGCCCGTTTTCCCTCTCACAAAGCGAAACCAGGCGCAAACACCGAGGGGTTTTCAGGGAGAGGAGAAGCGAAGCGGTCTGAGGGGCGCGGGACGATTAAACAGTGAGAAAACAGAAATAAAGCGATTTTTAAGTCCTTTAGTCCCCCACGGTTTTTCTCCCGGGCCTGGTTCCCCGATTCCACGGCTCAAACCCTGGGGTTTTTTCGGGCCGGGACCCCGCACACGCAAAGTTTTGCTGAACTGGGGGCTGAGCTGTCGCCCAGCACAATGTCCAGCCTCGGAGAGGTCAAGGGGTTTGCGAGGTCAGTCCCCGGCTATAATACCCAGCTAATCGCCTAGAAAACGTGTCCTCTGCGTGAACTCTCTCCCCCGAGCCGGGCTTTGCCAGCGCTGGATTTTGTCTCCCCAATTTTCACCCCTTCCCATCGTATCCCCGCGGCGCTCCCGGGATTCGGGGCGGCGAAACCCCGGGAGCGGCAGCAGCATTTCCAGGATATCCCCGATCCCGGGACAAAGACACGGCCTTAACCCGGGATATTCGCGGCCTCTGGGACGTCCTTAAACCGGGACACCCGCAGCCCTTGGGGACACTCTGCCCCGAACACCCCGTGCGAGATTTTCCTCAGGAAAAACAAAAAAAAAAAAAGGGGAAAAAAAAAAAAAAGACTTAAAACAATGAACAAAGGAGAGAGAAACACCCCCCAAACCACCCCGCACCATCCCGGCCCAGGGTCCCGCAGCAAAGCCCGGCAGGGCCGAGCCCCAAACGCTCACAAACCCCAAATCCAGGAGGGAAAAAAACACCCCAAACCCTATCACCACAAATAACCCCCCCCGCAAACTTTCCCTGCCCGCTCCCCCGCGCTCTCCTCGGTCAAAATAAAACGAGGCGACAGAAGGAAAACCCCGCACGAGAAACCCCGTGGTTTTTTTTTTTTTTTTTTTCTTTTTCTGCGCCCCCCCCCCCTCTTTTTTTTTTTTTTTTTTTAGCTCCTTTTTTTTTTTTTTTTTTCCCCTCTCTCTTTCGCCCCGGATTTGTGGTGAAAGGAGGCAATAAACCCATCCGAAATGCATGCCAAGAGAGCAGCTCCGTTACCTGGTTCGCTCCCACATCCTTTTTCCAACGCCCCAGAGACGGCCCTCATGCTTTGGGTGGTTTTCTTCCAAAAGTGAGAGAGGTCTGGGGGGAGGGGGTGGCTCGGGAGGGGGGGGACCCGTTTGATTTTTGGTTTTGGGTTTTTTTTTTTCTCCCCCAAAAATAAAGCTTTCACCTTTACGATCCAGATTTTATTATGAATATTATTATTTCCCCCTGAAGATTCTTGGAGGGCTCCGGGTGCTTTTTTCCCAACAGACGGTCTGCGGAGATTTGCTGTTGAATAACAATGGGAAAAGGATAAGTATTTAAAGAAAAGAAGTGATTAATGATTTTCTGTATAATTCTCGCATTTTTCTTGGCTTCTGTCTGCTTATAATGGCTGTGAACTTTTAGGTCCTATAGAAATCTTCTTTTCTCCCCCTTCTATTCTATTCATACTTTCCAGCTTTGATTTGCCTCTATAGACCCCGCATTCCTGGAAGCATATGCCTTTTTTTTTTTTTTTTTTTTAAACAACCATTTTTTGCCATTCTTAGAAGGCCCATCCTGAAAATAACACCCCCTTTTACAACCCTCAGCAGATCAAAGAGAGAAACAGCAAAATAAAATGCAACAACAACAAAACGCCCCAACCTTCAGGGATCACAATAAAATACAGCCCTTGCCACCCTCCCCGGAAAAAAAAAAAAAAAGAAAAAAAGAAATAAATAAAAAAAGAAACTTTAAAGCTTTGCAGTTGCTGCCTCTAAAACCGCGAGAGTTCACAAAAATCCCGCCATAAATCCATTTCTTTTATATCAGCGGGCGTCACACGCGCCACGCGATTGCATTAATATTATTTTTAAATCTCAAATGTCAACACAAAGGAAAATCCAGCGGCCCTTTGTTCGGAGTGGGGGCGGGAGAGGGGGGGGGGGACACTTTTGGGGACGCTTTATTTGCAAGGTGACTTCACTGCAGCGAGAGGAATAACACACAAACGCGCACTCTGTTTAAATATTTCAAACCCTGCCTTTGTTTCTGAATAATGAATATTTCGGTCCTGATGGGGGGTCTCGGAGAATTCCTCGAACATTGAACGAATAAGCAAAGCTCTTTTTTATTATCATTTTCTTTTTTTTTTTTTAATAAGAGGCAAGTATAAGAAAATGATTATTTTCTTCAGCTGGCACCGAGGCTTCCACCCCCCTGAGCACAACAGTCTTTTCTTTATATATATATATATATATTTCTAACTTAGAACTGGAACGTTATTTCGTCCCGAACGGTATTTTCGATACTTTTCTATGAGAAAGAAAATGAAAATTAATACAAGAGCTGCGGCTCACAAAAGAAGCCATTTGTCTTCTTGATTATCTATTTGCTTGTCAGGCTATGAGCTATCGCAGGAGCCAGCTCCTTTGTGATACAAAAATACACCGAAAACCTGCAAACACCGAGAAACATCTGGGCAAAAATTAGACTCATTAATGCATTAACTACCTTGGAGAAGGAGATTTTTTTTTTTTTATTTTTTTCCTTTTTTTTTTTTTGAGCTCCAGAAATCTCTCTGGAGAAACGCAGCGCTCCCTCCGTTCCTCCCAGCAAAGCAAAGCGCTAATGATGCCTCGGCTTTTTTTTTTTTTTTTTGTCTGAGACCGGTTTGGGAAGAGCATATTAATACACGCTTTGAACAAATAAATCATAATATGTACGACTTAGCAGTACTTAAAGCTGATATACCCTAGTCAAACATCTTTTGTTTTCATTAGGGACTCGAGGCTGTGCCACTGACAACAGAAACCCCTGGAAAAAAGAGAAACGTGCTGTTTAATTAATCGCTTTAAAATATGTATTTTTTTTTTCCTTTCCCCTCAGCGGAACAAAAAGACAAAACACCCCCCCCCCATCCCCTCCCCGCTCTCCAGACCAAAAAAAAAACAACCCAAAAACCACACGGGGGCAGATTCAACAATGAGAAAATTTATTTTCAATCGCGCTTTTTTGTTGTTGGTGGTGGTGGTGGTGATGTTGTTGTTCCTTTTCTCTGCTATTTACAGGTAATCCCGGACATCCCGAAGGACAAAGGGAGGGATGGAGGCGGTCGGGGGGGGGGGGATAGAGCCGAGCCCCTGCTCACCCCGCGAGGGGCAAACCCTCGCCCCTCCGCCCCTATAATTCACATTTTCGGTACAAAACCGGGCGAGGCAGCGGGAGAGGAGCTTTTCCCCCTCCTCTGCCCCGAGGCCGCGGGGGTGAATTCAGGTGCCACAGTTCCTCACCCAGTTTCTAACCTGACCCCCCCCCCCGCTTTCCCCCTTTCCCGGACTCACAATAAACCCACCGGACTCAAAAAAAACCCCAAACCAAACAACCAACAAAGGAAAAAACCCAAAAGGAGCGGGGTTTATATCACTCTCCATCCTCTTCCTTTCTTTGTCCACCACCTACTTGACCCAATTTCGCTCTGTTTTTTTTTTTTGCCCCCTCCATTCCCGCGCAGCGTCCCAGAGCTCCGCGCTCCCCACGCCCGGGGAGGATTTGGGGTTGGGTTTGTTGTTTTGGGGTGGATTTGTTGCTTTGGGGTGGATTTGTTGCTCTGGGGTGGGTTTGTCGCTTTAGGTTGAGTTTGTCGCTTTAGGTTGAGTTTGTTGCCTTGGGGTGGGTTTGTCGCTTTGGGTTGGATTTGTTGCTCTGGGGTGGGTTTGTCCCTTTGGGGT